CAGACCAGAGACACGTGAACGGTCGTTCACTTAGAGTTTGTATACTCTTGGAAATCAACTTCCTCTGCACAAGGTGCTGTGTGACCCCGTCACACAAGCCTCCGCAGTACCCTCCACGCGTCCTTGAAGGAAGCAGCACTCTATGCAAGCCCAATACCGCAGTTGTAGGTCTGAACTTAGCGGGGTACAATGTATAATCGATATCTACCTTCCGATATACAAGCTTTGTTGGTATAACGAGATTCAAGTATGTCTCGCCTTCGTTTTGTACCGACTTCTGCTTCTTCTCCCCTCCCGACGCAGCATTTGGACACTCCCGGCTCTCCGCTTTTAGATGAGAATGCGTGATTCGAGTTGAACGATCTATTTGTTTTGAAGCCAATATTTCTTCAGTGGATTGAATAGGTTAGCCTTTGTATGATACACTGCAATGGTCGCGACTTACCTCCCCAACGGACGCTTGTCAGTTCGATCATTTCCTCCAGAAAGCCAAAATTTGCGAACCCCTCTTCTTCACGGTGATATTGGCTACACACACCACACTATTTTGCTCTATAAAGTCTTAAATACATTTGAGGGCAATGGTTCGTTGAACCCTCACCGCTCTTGCTCGGCTTCACAACATGGTATATATAAACTCTGACAAAGAATATCAAACTACATTTCCTACCGTTTTCGCCCCAATACCGAGTGGGAATGTTGCATACTATACAGGCACAATACACGGCGCTTTAAGCTCCTTAGTTAGCTAATCTGAATCGCAAGTTCCTGACATAGCACGTCTGTTATGGCACTCGCAGGCCCTTAGCTGCTCAGTTCGTACGCTCTTTATCAGCCCAATACAGCGGCGAGGAACTTCCTAACAGTACTATCATGTATTATTGGTAGTGAGCGCTCGTAGAACCTAACTCACAGCTAAACAACGTGGTAATTTCTACGAGCAACACAGAGGAGTTGTAGATCGTTATCACGCGGCTTGGCGGACTGCAATCTCTCTCCCCCCCCCCCCACCCGCCCGACGCAGCGGTACTGACGCTCGCTGGTACATGGTGATTTGACAGCTTGGTTGGTTTCATGCGCGACAGAGCGTCAACAGCGCTGACTGGTCCTCAGTGACGCGGTGGCCTGGTAGGCTTCAGGTGATACTCATGTAGAATGTGTTTTTGTCTTGGTGGTTTGACAGGGTGCCTGCTCAGTAAAAAACAATATTGCCACGATTGTTCTTCACGGTACTGCTCTTATTAGCAATTTTGCGACAGGGTTCGACACAGTCGAACCTTTTTGACGTATCACAACCACAAATATAGAAACAGACGTAATGTATGATTTAGCACGATTACCTCTAAGACGTCATTAAAAAACATATTATAGTCGAAAATCCTGCTATAAATGATATTATTGAACCGTACAAGAGAATGGCTTTGGAAATTTGACTTCAAGTTTGTATGCGAGTCTTAATATAGAAATGTATGGCGATAACGAAAGGGTTAACAAGCAGACCAAATAAGGAATTGAAAACATTTTGACGTTGGCGACCCCCCCCCCCCCCCCTAACCGCTTTCACAAAAAAAAACTTTGTCAGAGTTTTTGTTTTCACAGCATTTTTGACTGCTTTATTAAGAGTTTTATGTAGAATCAGACAAGAATGGACTTTCGGGGGTATTAAATGATTCATGCAGATAGGTTTGGACATTTTCCCATTTTTTATTACAAAAAAAACTCTGTTACTTATAACAAAATCCATTATACATTTTCGCCCTGCTGGACGTCAGTAGGCACCACACATAAACGTATAGAACTATTTGTGTAGTGCATCTTCATGGCAGTAAGGTCTCACAACTCTCGATAATGATGCCAAGCTAAGGCAGTGTCTTTTGGTCCTATTTTTTGTCCTTAATTTTCAAGGTACTGGGATTAAGGAGCGCGCAACGCAGCCTGGAAGGACATATTTGTGTTGATTGTCGCTAATTTGGTTGAATTTGCTTCGACAGAATGTATCATTGTGAAGACCTCCAGAAAACCCATCTGATTGCGAGAGATGTGTCACGTTAAAAGAAGGGTTAAGGTGAAGCTTGAAAATGATACCATTATAGCTCCTGACTAAGTATAGTTCTTGGTTTTGCGGCCTCAGGTAAAAGCAAAATATACAGCCAATTTTCTGAAGGCTCAGTGTAAAATTGTCAGTGTAAGATCACGTTGCTCGTCCACATCAAGGAGCGGTATGGCTTCATCAACAAGAATCTAGTGCCCTTATCATGTTGGTCGTGCTAACCTTGAAATAATCAAGGGGCGGCGGGGTGTATCTGAAGGCAGTTGTATAACTCGCGCTCATATTTGTCAAAAGTATTACTCAAAAGTTGGACCACTCGTTGCTGTTGCATACTCCATTATCATGCTCCTTACACCCCAGCAACTATCCTGACACTCACCTAGAATGATATGCACTTAAATACAACGAATTGTTTTAGAACAAAAATGAGGAAAAAGGTTTTCTTTATATGAATCATGGATTTTAGTAAACAATCAGAGAGCCTACTGAAGATTTACGATGGCCTTGACGACGTCCATCTCAACCCGTTCATCCAAAATCTTTCCGTGTTTCTTGACAGCTTTTAGGAATGCGATCATCCCCCGACTTTCAACCATTAATTGTAAATCTATACTATCTGTTCTCCCCAACTTTGCCAACATCGAAACTTTGATCGCCAATTCTGTTTCGGATCCCCCACCAAAAAGGTTCGACCACCGGTCCCAAGGAATGTTCTCTGCCTTCTTGTTCAGCTCCGTAATATACTGCTGATATATTCTGAACGTGTCCACCTTGGTCACTTCGCCAAGAGCGATGCTATTCAGGCCAAGATCGTCCCAGGCTGTCGTAGTACTAGCTCCTTTCTTGAGCCAACCATCGACCTTAAATTTCTGGAAGTACTTAAAGTTCGGGTCTTCTGTCAGAGCTCTTCCTATCAGCCCAGTGAGTTTTAGCTTGTCCATGACGTAGTCGTCAGACTTGCCGTTCTTAATCCAAGATGTGACTCGCCAATTTTTGAGACCGGGTATCAATACACCCCTCGCTTCATCATCGCTCATCCTGGCCGTACGCAGTAGCCTTCCGCCATAGCCACTTGTGTCAGTCCTTGAAATCTTGGTGTGGTGGAACTCTGTAGCTTTTACAGCCACACTCAACAGGGCAAACACTGATAGCAGCAGGAAGCGAAGCATTAAATCCATGGCTTTCAGGGCCTCGTAAGACTTGAGATCTAATGAGAAAAAACTGAACTGGCGGCTTCGCAAGTAGCAAGTCCGTGAATCGATGCTTGCACAAAGTGTGGCGCACTGTGATTCAGCTGTGAGCCAGCAGCAGGTGGTTTTCTCAAACTGTTCATACTAGTATTCGAGATGGGGTAACCATCATGCGTAATGATTGGTCCATAATACTATTATTATCAGCCAATAGTAAGGCATAATATCCAGTGACTTTGAGATTCTGTGGTCATGTGTTTTCCAAGTAGTGATAATTAATGTACTTTCACTAGATTTGATATTGCTGGAGTCACAGCGGAATATCGTGTAAAAGACGGGGCTGCGATTTATACTGAATTAACGTAATAAAAAACAGTACAATTGGCCCATCTGCGTTCCTGCATAAATTTTCGCCGTTGGCAGACTCTATATGGTCCACCCTGTCGAAAACGAGGTGCACCACTGTACAAACATAACATGATATCCAGAGCGTTTATCTTAAGCCCCGGGTATAAAAACAACGAAAGTACCACTCACGATCACCAGAATCAATTCCAGCGGCGCATCGCTATAAGCTTTGCTCACCGGCTTGTTCGGAGCTTCCGCTACAAGAGGTTTCATTTTTGAGAGTGGTTGTTGCTCCAGACTGGTATCATAAAACAGCCAATTTGCCGCAGTTGGCAAGCATTGGTACGTAGCTTCCAGCGAGCGTTGAGCGGGTGCTGTAGTATGATTAAGGGCACTAGTGGAGAGGCTACTCGATCCTCCAAACCGAGCAACATTATGAGAAGGGGAAGCAATCAGCGTTGTTGTGTTTTCGTGCGGGCGAAAAGTTGAGTCTCTGTGCAGAAATAGCCGTTATTAGGCCATTAATAAGGACATTTATACCCTTATTAAGGACAACAGATGGCTCCCAGTCTGGAGCAGCAACATGTGCCAATGAACAATGGGTTGGTTGTATTCTCAATTTGGCCCTGAAAAAGTGGGTAATCATTTTTTTTCACATGATCCTTGTACTGTACAAGTGATTGGTTGTTCTACTGTATCCACCGCTGTGCTGCGGTCACTTAAAAACTCTACTTCCTCCGTTCACAATGCCCATAGCACTCCCCGGCTGCAGGTCACAGGTCATTTCGGCCAGAACACCGCGATCGTGCCCAGATTTGCATTGGCTAGATACACTATTATCGAAGCCATCGACCTTGTAACGTTTCCAGGCCCTGCCGAAAAGTGCATAGCTATCGTTAATACACCTGCAGCCAGCACCTTTGCTACAGGGGGATGGGCTGTTATCCTTCCAGAATGGCCTTTAAGCTGCAGTTCGGTGGAACACCATGTCTTGACATATGAGCTGCCCTAGTGGCTTCGGGTGCCGTAGCTACAGTTGCCCGGGCGTAGCAGATCAAAAACAACGTGGATAGCTTACAGGAGCGTCTTGCGGGGCCGACTTGCGGTCATTTGTCGAGAAAAAAAGGGTACCTACGGAATGCCCAGGTTTCACGTTTTTGATTGGATCAATTCAACCGCAAATCGGATAAGTATTATTAGTAGCAATTATATTGTTATTTTTGTTACATTGTATTTTACTGGGAGGACAGCTCAGGTTGGTTAAACAGCCTAAGAAATTTAATTACTTTTGCCGGGGACCCTTCCACAGGACTTTAGCTCGTTAGAGTCGCCTGATTCCATCCACCGATTTTGCCCAAACGAACACAATCATGTTCATACATTTTGTGAATGGCTGTCTTCATGTGATACATCGAATTTAAATTCTTTTTTTAAACTTATAATTTTAAAAAATTTCACTTCACCTATCCAGCAAAAAAAAAATCAAGCTATATAGGTTACATGAAGGCTGAAATATTCTTCTTGGTAATTAAAGGCGTGTTCGCGATAAACGTCGTTCTGATGGAATGATAATTTTGTGGGCTTGGGATTTTTTTTCTTCTCTTTGATGAAGGGCCCAGAACACGTTTTTAGGGTTTTGTGTTCGCGATCTCGAAACGTTACTCTGCTGATTCTTTTACCGCCCAATAGCGAATTGATTTTTGTCATGTGTATCTCTCTGCTATCCGTTCAACGCTCCAAGCGCAGGATAGAGCATGAGAAGACCGTCAGGCTTCTAAGGCTATCTACATCTGACGGACTACGCTTTTTCGAGGCAATACACGCATCAAACAATCGACTTTTGTTTCACGACCACTTTCGAATGGATGTTGCCGCGTTTGACGAGCTGTTTGAACGTTGTTGCTTTAAAGGCTTTGTAGCTATGAGCTTCTTTCACACATATCACGTTCAGTACCTGGGCTTAAAAAGAAGTACTATGCTACCTTTGTCTAATGAGCGATTGTGTTTGGCGTTCAGAGCGCCCGTCTGGGTGCGCCACGCTTAGGTCTTGAGACCTTTGTCGGTAGTAAGGGAAGCATCCTTACGTGCTTCACAGTACGTATCCAGCAAGTCAATCTCTTCGAGAACTGCCCACGTTGCGCGCTGCTGACTTGCGGTTGTGGGGGTCGTAGATGACCTGCTGGTATGTGCTGGCTTCTTCGTTGACTTAGTCTGCTTCTTTGACGACTTTGTGGTCTTGCCCATGATGCCGAGCGATGTTGAGTTTGCTCTCTGATCCGTCCGAAACCAAAGTGACACCCACTCCAGATCATGTCAGTATAAAAAGGGAAACCCTGGTTATAAGAGCAGACAAAAATTGGAACATCGACTGAATCCATTTTCATTTTTTGGAAATCGGGTGTCAACCTGATTTCCAGAATTACCCTGAAAACATCGTTCCGCCTCTGAAGTATCCTTTCGCGATTTTTGTGTTCGCGACGCGGATTTTGGATCAAAACGACGTTTTCCCTCCCAGAACGATGTTTTCCTATCATCGCGAACACGACCTAAGTTTCTCGACGGTTTGCGCCAAGAATAAGAGTCAGATCACCCAAAACCCTATCAACACAATGGCGGGTTGCTTTCTCAACAGCGGTAGAGAACCACGAGCAGCCAGTAGTGCGTGTGTCTGCTGTATACAGCATCAGTAAACCCTCAAGTTTCGCTTTGGCAGCTCAAGCAGTTCTACCTACCAAGATTCTCGTCCAACCTACCATGTTCTCTCCTCCGTCGCCAACAACGTCTACTGCGGCAGCAGTTCCTTCCGGTGCTGACATCCATGAACAGTCGGAGTAAGCCACGTCGTCGCGCCACTCGTTTCCTCCTCTCAAAGGCAAGACCCAGTACCAAGCCTGCCGGTGCTTCGTCCGTCCGTGTCAGACACAACGGACGGCTCCTCCCCACGAGTCCACCGTCGAGTGCAGCCAACGACGGCCCCGTTGCCAGCGCCGCACGCACATCCACATCAACCATGAGCATGCCCAGCACCGTTGCGCCGTCTGCATCGTCGCGTCTCCGCACCGACACTCGCGTGGAGCTGCCGACGCCGTCAGGGGCGGCAACACCAACAGATATATTCGTGATTGAGGACCCAGAGCAGCACACTTCACCTGCTGCAGTCTCACCCGGTCGATCGCGCGCGCGTCTTTGAGCGAAGAAAACTGCAAAGTGTCTTTGAGCGGCGTCTCGCAAGCCCAAGCGAGTCAGACCAACGGCGGACTCAAGCAGTGCTGACGCGCGTGAGAAAAAAACGACGACCGGTACTTTATCGAAGTCGTCAGGTTCGGCGCAAGATGTCATTATCTCGACTCCAGCCTCCGATACTGCATCGACCGCTGTGTCGGCCAACCGACCAGCGCAACCTAGCGCGCCACCGGCATCAATAACCGGTACAGGTCTCAAGGGTGTAGCTGAGGCCATCTCCTTCGACATGATGCGGTGCTCACGCACACCTCTTCCCGTGTAAGAGGCGGGGAACTGCTCGGTCTTGCTCGTGGTGATCTACCGCAAGCACGCACCTCATGCACAATCGTCAACACCGAGAAAACACCTGTCCAGCAAAAACCCTGGCTCTAACCCCATCGCGCTCACCGTCGTCCAACTTCAATCTTGATGAAGTTTTGAGCATGTACGTCATGAACGCGTCCGGTAGCGCGTCGACTACGTCACCGCCGGTAGCATCGAAACTCTTGGTGCTTGAAGCACGGGTGGATCGCCTCTTTCAGCAGTTTGACAATCTACGCCAGCTCCTCGCTGGCACCGCCAGCCCTCCGGAGGCCTTCGCAGCTGAGATCCCGACCTACTTGCCCGTGACCACGAATGCTATGCTCAAGGATATCAACCCCAATGACACGATGCGCCTGGAAGAAAATTTGGATGGGCACCCCGGGCGTCAAGGGACCCACAACGAAGTATTGCGATTGACTAGAGAGGTGATATTCAGAGCGGCGAGAGCCAAGCCACCCTGGATGACTGCAAGGACAAAGACGAAGGACGAGAAGTTTCCCGGTTGGTGATCCAGAGCAGCCATGGACCAAGACTTGAGAGAAGAACTTGGAA